CTACTTTCGTATTATTCACTTAAAGGGGCCGGTATGTGCCACTGTTAATTTATCTGCGGAACACGAACAAACAATCGTTAAGGAATACAAACTTCCTGACAGGTTAAGAGGTCAGATATTTTTTGGGAAAACATTATGCATTGGGTATAGTTTTCCAGTATATGTATTTCAGTATCGATTGGAAGACGAATGGGTTGATGTCATGTTGATGATTTTAAATTCAGAAAATGAAATATTTCATTTTGTTGATCACCATGCGATGATACATGAATGGTGGAGAGAAACTAATCCTTTAAAAGAACCATTAGAATGTTTGATATCTCCAGATTTAGACATGTTTCTATTCAGATGTCCTATGGAAGCATCGGCTAGCCTCGGTTTGGATTGGTTTTCAATATCTGAAAAGTCTATGTCGACGACTGGAGAAAGAACAAAAATTTCAAATCTTAAGGCTAAAGATGAAATAAGTTATATCTTTCATCCAAGTCATCCTTGTTCAGTCATTTCAGTGTTACATGTTAACTCTGGCCATTTACGTATAGGCTTAAGACATTAAAATTCTAAAAACATGGATGTGGTTTATAGGATTTCAGGTGGGTGGTTGTGTAGACAATATGGACAACCTGATATAAAATTTCCAGATATACATAGCAAATGTAACATTGTCAAAAACAGTTGCAAACTAATTGCAAGTCGTAGTAAAGATGTATTAGCACAGTGCTTCATTACTCAAGATAAACACACCAATGGTATTGTGCATATAATCATATATTTCTCTAATGACATGTCGTCATTACTGAATGAGGAAAAGTGTTTAAGTCAAAGCGTTGAAACTATTGTGCCTTAATTCTCACTGTGCGATTCAGAATTACAAATCTGGAATCCGAATTTTTCAACAAAATATGCTTCCTTTCAAGTTCATCGTCTAAATGGTTATGTGTCGAGCAGCGATTCTGAGGACTTGCTCTCCGTCTAGTATAGAAGACCTGCCCTTACCAACGTCATTAAAAGAATATTTAAAATTTATCTAATTCTGAATGATCACTTTTTTAAGAATATGTTACTCTTGCATTGTCATTAAATAACTTTTTTTCAAATGAAAAAAATATGTTTTAAAACTATCTATTTGGTGTAAAACGTAACAAAAATTGATATCTTAAGATGTAATAAAGAATGTCTTTTTCAATCTGTATTTAGTTTCAATGGAACATAACATCTCCCTTTAAGTTCGAATTAAATTTGCAAATAAAAAAATGAGAAAGAAAATTTTATTGCTACATATCAAGTTGATATTCTGGTGTCATTTATTCACATTTTGTCAATTGTATACGTGTTTTTAACATATATGCTTACGTTTCTTTATACCTTTAAGAATACACACACATACTTACTAACATAGTCACATTAAAGGCATATAGATATGCGTATATGTATAAACTCTTCGATGCATACGTAATCATTCATATACTTATAATCGTATTCCAGCAGTTCCATCTTTTTCCACTAATATCAATATATATATCCTGTATAAAAAAAGTAGAACAAAAATACCATACTACACGGAAAATTCAAAACGAAAAGACAAAACCATGTGGGGAATAAACAGATTGCCATGCCTCACATTCATACCTTCGTCCAAACTGAACGTTCTGGGAGTTGAACATTGACAAACATGCTACAGCCTGGCAAATGTTAAATATGCCTGTCCCAAGTCAGGTTGTTGTTGGTAGATGTTTGTCATATAAGTCTTTTGTTTATTCTTTAGCAGAACACAGGCCGATGGTATTCTCATAAGATTTTGTTTCGTTTCACATTTTATTCATGTCGGGTCTCTTATAAATTACGATACGGAATGTTTTGCTCATTGTTAAAGGTCGTATATCCATGTTTCGCGGTCTTTATGACTTATGAAATATATTGCTTATTGTTTAAGGTCGTATATCCATGCTTCGAAGCCATCATAACTTATGATACGGAATGTTTTGCTCATTGTTGAATATCGTATATCCATGTTTCTTGGCCTTTCTGACTTAAGATACGGAATGTTTGGCCCATTGTTACAGGTCGTATATCCGTATTTTTTAGCCTTTATAACTTAAGATACAGAATTTCTTGCACATTGTTGAAGGTCGTATATCCATGTTTTTGATTTCTGGTATATAGAAGTCTCACTTCATTCCATATCTCCTGTACATTTTTATGTACTAGTATACAAACACTCAAATAGAGCAGATTGCAAAGCTTTTATTAACAAACATATGACCGTAATGAATAGCTCAATTAAACACTTAATGAAGCCTTTGCAATCAAAACTATATCCAAATTTCACACCCCAATAACGGGAATTGTCAAGCCTTCACAAATTAACCCTTATCCAGCCCAATCAAATAGATAGTCAAGCTTTCATATAACAAAAGTGATTACGCCGAAAAGTCTCGCCTGCTTTAATGAGCACGATTGATGGTATGTTGAAAGTGTTAAAAAAAGGTTGTACCACAAGCATTACATGAAACTAACATTTTCAATAATCCATGTAAGTGGAGTTAATGTCAGATCGTCCTGCCAGACGGACATGAACGTCTTACAATAATTCCATACACAAAATAAAGTTAACATATTACTTATAGTATCTGACTAAACGGACATAACAAAGAAAACGAAACGCTGACCTTTCAACCATGGAAATGAGGTAAAGGTCAGATGAAACCCATCAGACAGACATGTACAACAATGTATATAGTTGTCCTATTACTAAAGGATTTCTTGGAAACTTAATGACTGGACAGAAAACAGTACATAAAGGATTGCGCGGAAACCTAAAGATTCGACAGCAACCGAACACAGACCTTTTCATCGAACCATAAAGACCCATAATAGTAAAAAAGCATTAAATAGAAACTCAAAGACTAAACAGAAAACATTTCACATCAAATGACTGGACGGAACACAATACACAAAATACCATAGGTAACATAAAGACTGGACAGAAAACAGTCCACCAACCTTTTCACGAAAAATCTCAAGGCTGGACAGAAAACATTCCACAAAACATATCACGAAAATCTAAAGGCTGGACAGAAAACATTTCACAAAACATTTCGCGAAAACCTACAGGCTGGACAGAAAACAGTTCACAAATCATTTCACGAAAACCTAAAGGCTGGACAGAAAACAGTCCTAAAACATTTTACTGAAATCTAAAGGCTGGATAGAAAACAGTTCACAATACATATCACGAAAACCTAAAGGCTGGACATAAAAACACACCTAAAACATTTCAGGAAAACCTAAAGGCTGAACAGAAAACAGTTCACAAAACATGTATATCACGAAAACATAAAGGCTTGACCGAAAACAGTCCACAAAACATATCACTAAAACCTAAAGGCTGGACAGAAAACAGTTAACAAAACATTTCTGGAAAACCTAAATGCTGGACAGAAAACAGTCCACAAAACATTTCAGGAAAACCTAAAGGCTGGACAGAAAATCAGTCCACAAATCATTTCACGAAAATATAAAGGCTGGACAGAAAACATTCCACAAAACATATCACGAAACCTAAAGGCTGGACAGAAAACATTCCACAAAACATATCACAAAAACCTAAAGGCTGCACAGAAAACAGTCCACAAACCATTGCAGAAAACATTCCACAATACAATTATGGATTGGACAGAAAACATTATGCAAAACACTATGCGGTACAACTCTACACTGAGCAACGCAAGATCAACAGAAAAGGGAGTGAACTCATATACTCTGGAAGGTTCCCAATTTCTGATTTACTAGTGGCACTCATCGTATTATTCACGACACAGTCGCATTCTTTGATACGATATATAAATTACACTCATGCGATATATAAAATTATATATATTACGCTCATTAGATATAAATATACTTCACTCAATAGATACATAAATTACACTCATTAGATACATAAACTACACTCATTAGATACATAAACTACACTCATTAGATACATAAATTACACTCATTAGATACATAAACTACGCTCATTAGATATAAATATACTTCACTCAATAGATACATAAATTACACTCATTAGATACATGAACTACACTCATAAGATACATAAATTACACTCATTAGATACATAAACTACACTCATTAGATACATAAATTACACTCATTAGATACATAAATTACACTCATTAGATATATAAAATCTGGTTGTATCAATATTTCAAGGGTTTGTCTTTCATACTTAAACTTTGTTTGCGGGGTAAGGATAAAGCAAACAAAAGGAATATGATTATAAATAAAATGTTATCAAATAATATACAACCTGATTATAAACTCAACGATAAGTTTTTAGCATGAGATTTGACCTTAGTAGGATTTGGCTATTAGTTTAGGTCCCTTTTGGTCAGACAGCTGTTAGCGTCTAAAGGCTGGACAGAAAACATTCCACAAAACATATCACAAAAACCTAAAGGCTGCACAGAAAACAGTCCACAAACCATTGCAGAAAACATTCCACAATACAATTATGGATTGGACAGAAAACATTATGCAAAACACTATGCGGTACAACTCTACACTGAGCAACGCAAGATCAACAGAAAAGGGAGTGAACTCATATACTCTGGAAGGTTCCCAATTTCTGATTTACTAGTGGCACTCATCGTATTATTCACGACACAGTCGCATTCTTTGATACGATATATAAATTACACTCATGCGATATATAAAATTATATATATTACGCTCATTAGATAAAAATATACTTCACTCAATAGATACATAAATTACACTCATTAGATACATAAACTACACTCATTAGATACATAAACTACACTCATTAGATACATAAATTACACTCATTAGATACATAAACTACGCTCATTAGATATAAATATACTTCACTCAATAGATACATAAATTACACTCATTAGATACATGAACTACACTCATAAGATACATAAATTACACTCATTAGATACATAAACTACACTCATTAGATACAAAAATTACACTCATTAGATACATAAATTACACTCATTAGATATATAAAATCTGGTTGTATCAATATTTCAAGGGTTTGTCTTTCATACTTAAACTTTGTTTGCGGGGTAAGGATAAAGCAAACAAAAGGAATATGATTATAAATAAAATGTTATCAAATAATATACAACCTGATTATAAACTCAACGATAAGTTTTAAGCATGAGATTTGACCTTAGTAGGATTTGGCTATTATTTTAGGTCCCATATGGCCAGACAGCTGTTAGCGTGTTTTGGTAATTATACACCCTTCGCTTTCAAATTTCTGGCTTTGAGATTTCCTGATGACGATAAATCTAGAAAAGCGCTTTGGACGCATACATTTGTAAAGTATAATCTAAATTTCTTAAGTCAAGTAAGTTTCATTCATTTATTTCACCATGTGCATCAGCTGTGAAATATGCACATTGTTTTCTAAAACAGTCTACTTGTTATAGATGCATAATCAAGTAACTAATAAATAGACATTAAATATCATCCTGAAAAAAAAACGAGAGAAATATTTTATGCATGTTTGTTTTACTGTAGTTGAAACCAGAACGATGGTTAAACATGAGAGTAAAACATAGATGTAGCATATTTCAATGAAGAGCAGTTTGGTCTAGATATACGTCTCAACTGAGAAACCTTGGAACTCATTTCAAAATCTAAATTAAAGATTTTTTTCGAGATATGTCTTAACTGAGATACCTTGAAACTCTTTATATAATCTGAATCAAAAGTTTTGTCTAGATATAAGTCTCAGCTGAGCAACCATTAAACTCGGTATCAAACTCTGAATCAAAGGTTTTGTCTAGATATACGCTTTAATTGCAAAAACTTGAAATTCCTTATGGAGTAGGAATCGCAGATTCATAAAACCTGGTAACACAACTGGCGATAGTGTTTTTATGTCAGGATACTAAACTTTTCGCTAACACTTTAATTTCAATCGCGTTTTTAAAAACAATTTCTTCAAAATTTGATTGCTTATATATGTCAACAACTATGTCATAATATGGAAATTTGATGCGAACGTTTGATTTCTTAATTTATATAAGTGTCAATATATAAAATCTGATTTGTATTGTTGCGTCATGCATTGTGTTTAAGAATTTGTTTAATGTAGGAAGACACCTGTTGGCCAAATAAAATAAGTCCAAAATGTTCAGACACCTTGGCAACTAACATAAATAATACAAAGAAATACAAAGAACATCCAAACAACACACACAATTTAATGAAATTATGTCTTTTGGTTTAAATATGGCATTAATTTCCCAAATAGATAAAAGTATTATCCGGAAGTCGAAGGGGTTTTAGGGTATTCCTCTTTATATCACCTAATCATTGAGAACGTTCTTGAGACAAGTTGATGCCTAGTCATGTTGGCGTCTATAGAATTTATCATCGACCAATTGACAACCAACAATTGCCTTGTCATACTGATGCCCATAGTATTATTCATTGTTCATTAATGTCATTATCGACAAGTTCTTGGACCGAAAGATAGAAAATTAATCATATATAATAGTTTAATATAACTTTACAGATAGTTATATATCGTATACATGCAACTTTACTTGTTGAATGGAATGTAATACACAATTTAACTTTTCGTTTTTTTGTCACAATTATTGACCATCAGATATACTAAAAAAATCCTCCTTTTCCTTAAATAAATAACTGAAGTTAACAGACAAATGTGATTATTGCATCAGGCCATTAAGTAACGTATTGCAGAATTTTAAATAGATGTAAGGTCTTGTTGATACATATCATCATATGTCAACAAAAGTCAGTTATGAAAATATTTCAATCTATAAAAAACCCTATGGATTGTCATTTGTGGTTTTAGCAGCTTTTGAACGTTTGTATTAGGTTTTGGATTTGTAAATATTTTGGCCACAGGCACCACTTAAATGAATTAATTGTCAAAATGCGCATCTAGTGAAGCAAAATTGGTACCGTTAATGTTATAAGACATGCCAGGAAACACATTACAAACGAATCTGATACTATGAAACCTACATAATTGTGAAAACACACCAAATTTACAAAGCGATGAAACAATCGTATAAGTAAGTCAGCAAATTACAATTGCTACTTGATTTAGGGATAAATAAATATATGCACACATCTAAATACATTTACTCTTTTCATACTTTGCACGGATATGACATAACATAGCCAATTGAGTGATGTCATAGTCCAGTTTTACAATAATAATTCTTTGTTTTCAATCATTTATTTTACAAAGTAGAACATTTTAGTGATTCAAAACTAAATTAAAAATGGTATGAAAATGTCACTAAATGAATTGTCGAAGATAATATATTGCTTCAACTCTTGACCAGGAATCATATACATACTTTCCACTGTCAGGCTGTATTCCTATACATACTTTGTATCTATGTAATCTATAAAAAAAAATGAAAGCTCATCACAAAAAAGACCTTTAGAAGTAAAAATACATCGTAAACTATAGGTACATGTCAATACAATATATCAAGCTCTCAATGTTCCGAGTCTTAAATATTTGTGGAAAATGTGACGGAAAAGTTCAAAGATTATAATCAATTAAAAAAACACACTTTAGTTTGCGCTAGTCATTGAACAACATAGTTTCATCCTGAATTGATTATGACGCCACTTAGCTTTATTGAATGTCATCGCTTATTTTTTTTTCAAATTTGCATTTTTAGCTTCAGATGCAAATTTGTTATTTTGTCGTGTGATCTCTGTAACGACTTTTAAATGGCCGACATAAAACTTTTCATTTGCATTCGCTGCATTTCTTTTTTCAAAGACTGACATTGACACCAATGTACTTTAATTTATTCTTATTAAACAAAATTGTAACAAATTCATCACCTACCTCTTTGTTAACTTTGTGTTTATAATATCGTTTTTCTATTTCAAGTCTCACTCGCTTTGAAACCTCCACAATGATTGCTAAAACAATACTGCCAAGTAGAATCAGAAAAACACCAAACATGTTTTCTATTTCTAATTCAGAACTTGACTTTATCTGACTCTTTTCTACTTCCGCTTGTGTACAGTTTGAACGCCACCATCTGAAAGAAGGAAATTGAGTTAACCAATACACACTCTCAGATCCAAATTAATAAATTTGTATTTTCATTTTCAAGCGCTTCGTTGATACTTCTGCTGGTTGAATGATAGTCCCCGAGAGTATCGAGTATCATCAGCTCAGTTGTTAGTGTTGCAGTACTAACATGGTTTAGAGCAAACATTTCTTAGATTCTTCGCTGCAAAATGTAGAAATTAGGACGAAACTAAGGTTTTTACTCCCTCAGAAAAAGTTTTATGGATTTGGCTTCTCTTTTTATAGATATAAGAGGATGTGGTATGAGTGCCAATGAGACAACTCTCCATCCAAGTCACAATTTGTGTCCACTTCATTCATATAACTTCTCCCATATTTTATACATCTTTCGCTTTCAAAGTTTTGAGCTTGAGCGTTCTTGGTGAAGGTAATCTATATGTGTATTTTCATTATCATATTGCATACAATTTGTTTAAATTTAAGAATATATACAAATGACCATTAAATCCATTTAACTAAGAAGCCTAGATCATAAGTATGTACATTTCTAAAATCAAACGGACCAGTGATTATTTCTATGTAAACTTACTTTGCCTTTAAAATATCTAAATGACCATTCTCCTGTAGCATCAACAATGCACGATTGATATCATCTCTATAAGGAGCACCACGTGGGAAACCAAAACTATACTGTTTATCACCAAATCCTTGATGTATCGATTCCAACGTAGTGCAGTGCTCCATGGCATAGTGATCGTTCATTACACTGTCGTCCAAAAACACATATTTGTCGTTTTCCCCTTGAACCATTTTCCGTGCATCCTCTCTCTTATCCGGCATGATATCGACTTCATTTAACTTCATGTGAATCCACATTCTTTTATAAAGGTCATTATCAGACTTTGCAAAGAATTTTTCCAAATCGCTTCCTTTTAGAACACCGTAACTGATCTTCTTTTGAGTGACTAAGGCATCCACAGTCTTGACTCTGTTGTCAATATTTTTTAGCGTGAGGAAAGCAGCAAGGTTTGCCGTGTAAGCAGTAGTTATGATAAGAGTACAGAACCAATAAATAGCAACAATTGTTCTCATGGAAGTTGTTTGAGGTGCGTATTCAGTTCCACCTGTAACAGAAAACGAGAATTTATTTAGGTGGAACTATTTAAAATATGAGAATAAATATGAATCGTATAACCATAACCGTCAATGAGCTAATAAGACCTAAACAAATTAACAGACAAAATCTTCGTCCCTAATAAAAAACCTTATATTGATATGAATATATTACGACCAAGTATAAGGAACTTGTTTTACTATTCTGTAAGAATGATCTTTGATAATTAAAACTCAATATTTTGACCTATCGATCTATTGTCTAATGGTCAGCACAACTGTTGTTAATAGCCATTAGTATGTTGGCGTGAGGAGACGGAGCTAAGTGCAATAATCAGTACAGCTGTTGTTAATAGTCTATAGCATATCAACGTGAGTAGATGGAGCTTCCCGCAAGTGTTGCCTACAATCGCAAAGGGCTTTATAGAAGTGTAATTCTACTATAATCCCAAGTCAAATGTAACCATTGCAGTCTGCCTGATATAATATACCTTATCAAGCCTCACAAGAGTTATTGCTTTTTCCGATTTTTGGTATAGTTCCCATTGTGTTTTTTAAATTTTATATTTCCAGCAATTTCATTATTATCATTTTACGAAGTAATTTGAAATTCAATTATGTTTCAAATAAATTTTCCTGCTACAAATTGATATTTCCCCATGATATCCCAAAATGATAGAGTAATTAAAAACTCTGGGTTATCTTATAATTACACATAGCAAAACACAATAATTGAACAATAATCAGGAGAAAAAACACAGGATCCTTGACCCTATTATAATTACCCTGTAAAATACATGATCCATGATAAGGCCCTATTATCATTACTGTGTAAAAACACATGATCCACGAGTAGGATCTATCATTATTACCTTGTTAAAGCACATTATCCATGATAAGGCCTTATAATCATTACCTTGTAAAAACGCATGATTTGGCCGTATTATCATTACCTTGTGACAATACAAGATCCATTATTCGACCTTATTATCATTACCTTGTTACAACACATAATCCATGATAAGACCCTATTATCATGTAATTATCATTACTTTGTAAAAAAACGAGATTTATTATAAGGCCCTATTATCATTACCTTGTAAAAACATATGATACATTGTTAGGTCCAATTATATTACCTTGTTACAACATATGATCCATGATAAGGCTCTATTAGCATTACCTTGTAAAACACATGATCCATGATAAGTCCTAATATCATCACCTTGTAAAAAAGGATCCATGGCTAGGCCCTATTACAATCACCTTGTAAAACACATGATCCATGATTAGGACCTATCATTTTTACCTTGTAAAAGAACAGGATCCATGATAAGTCCTAATATCATTATCTTATAAAAAAAGGATCCATGATAAGTGATCATATCATTACCTTGTAAAAAAAAAGGGTCCATGGCTATGCCCTTTTATCATTACCTTGTAAAAGAACGTTTAGAGAGTACCATAAGCTTTCTTTCAGATCAAATTGTTGGTCCGACTCTCGTTGTGTTGTATCATATCGTCCCATCAGATAGAGTGCACCTCCAACAACAAAGAAAACACCAAGGATTGTAAACCATAAATGTGATGTGAATGGCCCGAGGAACTGGAAGAAAGTGGGCGTAGCTGGTGGTTTCTGTAATAGTATACTAACAGTAGAGTCCATTATTGTAGTTGAAAAAGAGATTTGCTCTTCACGTGAAGATTTAACGTCTAAAGATCCGATGATGATATCTCCATCCTAAAAAGAAAATAATTGGCATCATTTTAATTACAAATGTCACCTGTCTATTAAAGGTAACTATATAGTAAATCTACTTTTTTATATATAAGATATGAATTTTTCTATTGAATAAATGTTGTGTCATGCGCTTCATGATTGTGACTTCGGCAACTCGAACACATCCATGTTCATCTATGAGACAGATATTCCAGAAAGGTCAGAATGGAGTTCATAAAACTTCAAAAAATATTACTTTTCCTTTACCAATAAGAACACTAGTTAAAACAGTATAATTCCAAAAAGCATACCTCTATATTAAGAACACTTTTTATTATGATTGTCACCCTCTTGATAACCAATTAATTAACTCAATTGATAGATTTTCTCTGATTTTTCAGCACATACATGGGGTAAAATAAACTAGAGGCTCTAAAGAGCCTGTATCGTTGACCTGCATCTTCAACTATGTCCACTATTTGGTACAAATCGGTATGAAAGGCAACCACTTTTTAAAGAGTTGAATGACCCTTTTAGTCATGTTGACATATTTGTAGATCTTGTCCTGCTTTTTATAATTTCTATATACAATTGTATATATATTCTACTTTTTATGATGATAGGCAAAAACTAAACAATCATCTTTAAACGGCAATAACTTCATTAACGAGTCGATTTAAGATTTCGGTTATGATAGCTTTTTGTAGATCTTGTCTTTCTGATAATTTTCGCTATTTTAAGTTTCTATATAATATATCTATTATAATTTTCAAGATAGTAGGCAAAAATGCAGAAAATGGTGAAAGTGGTCATTAAATTACAATAATGTGTCCTCAAACAATTTCAGCAATTTGACCTATTTGTAGATTTTGTCTTGCTTTTCATTTTTCCTGAATAAAGTTTCTCTTTATCTATTATAGTTTTCAAAATAATAGGCAAAAATGAATCAAGTTTGTTTGGTTAAATTTGGACCAGTTGTTTTAGTGTAGAAGATTTTTGTAAGATATTAGGCAAAGCGCAAAAAAATTGGTAAAAATCGTCATTAAAGGGCAATGACTCTAATTAAGAGTCATTTGACTATTTCGGCCATGTTGACTTATATGTAGATCTTTTCTTGCTGACAATTTTCGTTATTTAATGAGTCTCTCTATCTTTTATAGATTTCAAGATAATATGCAAACATGAAACAAATGGTAAAAGTTATCATTTAAGGGCAAAAACTAATATAAGAAAACATCTGACAGTTTTGACTTAAAGGATAGAAGGTAGATCTCAGCATTCTGACATTTCTGCCCCTGTCAGATTTTCTCTATTCATAGAAGTTTTAGACATAAAAGACAAAACTTGCATTTTATCCCTATGATCTATTTTTAGCCAAGTCGGCCATGTTGGTTTGCAAGCAAAGTCAACGGACACATTTTATAAAACTAGATACCCAAATAATGGTTGTGGCCAAGTTTGATTGAATTTAGTCCAGCAGTTTTAGTGTAGAAGATTTTTGTAAGATATTAGGCAAAACGGCAAAAAATTGGTGAAAATTGTCATTAAAGGGCAATAACTCTAATAAAGAGGCATTTGACTATTTCGGCCATTTGACTTATTTGTAGATCTAGTCTTGAAGACCATTTTCGCTATTTAACGTTTCTCTCTTTCTTGTATAGATTTCAAGATAATAGACAAAAATTAAGTAAACATGGTAAAATTTATCATTTAAGGTCAAGGAACAGTAAATGGGCTATGTCACAGATTTTGCTGAAATTTTGCATACAACCTTAGCTCGTTGAACTATAACTGAAAACAGAAAAAAATAATGCATGCATCTTTTATCTGAAATATTAGTGATGGAATTCCTTCAAAATAGGTGAACATTTGTATAGAAAGCACATAAAATCGGCGAAAAACTTTCTTAAATGATTCTTAAAATCATCAAATCTCTTATTTCTTATACATAGATTTTTCTTGAAAAACTATATGTGGTTGATACATAATTTTCCGTTTTAATGATATAAAAAAATCATATGGTCACCGACTTCATTTTGGGTTTAATAATTAATCTGTTACCTGTCCGGACATAAGTTAGAGCTCAACAAATTTAACATGTCTGCCCCTGTAAGATTTCCTTTATCTATAGCGGTTTTCAAAAATAAAAGACAAAACTTGATTTTACCCCTATATTATATTTTTAGCCATGTCGACCATCTTGGTTGGCAGACGGGGTAATCAGACACTTTTTTAAAACTATATACCACAATAATGATTATGGCCAAGTTTGCTGAAGTTTGACTCGGCAGTTTCAGAGATGAAGATTGTTGTAAAAGTTAGAGGACGACGACGAAGAACGACTGACGATGGGCGCCAAGTGATGAGAAAAGCTCAATTAGCAATTTGAGCCAGGTGAGCTGAAAATCATAATGAGTGTTGCTTTTTTTTTTATATCCAAAAGTGTTTATGACGTTGGAAACTAAACTTTTTTTAGTTTCTGATTCATAGGATATTATGTTTTACTGTTTCAATCATTGCATACTCCTTTTACTACTTGATTGATGATTTTGTCCCAGTCATTAACGCCATTGTCTGCTAGTTTTATGGTATAGTTAAAGTTCATTATACTGGAAACTTCCTCTAAAATGTCTACACAGAAACCTTCATATCTATCGCCATGTCCTCTCTGAACAAACGGTGGGTCCTACAAAAATAAAATAATAAATAATAAAACTCTAAAAACATATCTAATACAAAAGAAGGCACCATATATAAGAAAATAAATACAGAAATTTTTCTACAATTTTTTACTTCCTGATATTTAGTGATAAAAAAATATGAAAGTAAGGATACCAATTATGCCTGCATCCGTTCGTCTCGTGTCTTTAGAAAAGATTACTTCAATATGTTAAAACAGAGGGAGAAGATACCTAGGGCGAAATCAGAATCATAAACCGACGAAACACAGACAACATGATGTTTAAAAGAAAGACGATCCAAATACAAACAACAGTCCACAAAATAACACATAGATGAAAATAAAAACTGTGTTTATAAGACATGAATGTTCATATATCAACAGATTTTGTTTATCTATTTCGTTATGAGAGACGGATCAAAGCTATTTTTTAAATTTGTTTTATAATTTATTTTAATCATTTTTTTCCTAGGTGTTACGTTTTCTGAGATAAAAGGGGATAAGAGGACTAAATTCCTATTCCTATGCTATCACATATATCAATGATGAAAAGATTGCAATATTTTTTTAATATCCTGAATAGTAAATACTCACTAAACGTGTAATGACAGTAAACTAAATACTCATTAAACATGTATTGAGGGTAAAGTAAATACTCACTAAACGTGTAATGACGGTAAAGTAAATACTCACTAAACGTGTAATGACGGTAAAGTAAATACTTACTTAACGTGTAATGACGATAAAGTAAATACTCACTAAACGTGTAATGACGGTAAAAGTTTTATTTTGCAATACTTCATGCAATTTGTGATCAACAGTCCTGTCCATTTGTCTGTCCACCCGCAGAATAAGTCCACTATCAGAAAATGTACATAAACCTATCTAAAATGTATAAAAAATGAAAATATGGATTACGTCAATTACAATACGAATCTAAAACTGTTATTAACGAATTAAATGTAATGTCATATTTCATCAATCGAAATTAGGATGAAGTTTGGATTATGATTTAGCGAAAGCACACAAAGGTATTGATACTTCTCTGATGTCACATTTACCTATATTGTGGTTGGTTGAATTATATTTTACCTGTACTGTGGTTGGTTGAAATATATTGACGTGTTCGTATTTGCTTATGATGGGACTTGGATTCATACATACAACTAGCCTATTCTTTATTTTTTAAGACATGGGCGTGAACTAGATACTGTTTGTTTTGTGTTGAAGTGAAATGCAACAGGCACATTTTATGATTTAGGAAACATGAACTATATATATATTGTGTGTCTGTAATTCATTTTAAATCCCACTAGAATATATGATTGCTGGGACTATATATTGTGTGTCTGGAATTTATCTGACACCCCACTAGCATGTATCTGATTGCTTGAAGAAATAAGCTGGGACTATATATTGTATGAATAAAGGCAACAGTAGTATATCGCTGTTCAATAGTCATAATTCGATTAAGCAAAAACAAATCCGGGTAACAAAGTGAAACCGAGGGAAACACATAAACAATAGGAGGAAAACAACGGAATAACATAAATTCGGAACTACAACAAAAGCATACGCCAACATAAATAGAAACGGACTATCTGATAACAACTGCCATATTCTAGACTTGGTACAGGACATTTTAAGAAAAATGGTGGGTTGAACATGGTTTTTATGGCTAGCCAAACCTTATAGGGCAATGTTAAAAATATCGCTATAATGACAACACTACGTGACAGGAATACAGTACAAACAAACGAAGGAACAACAAGCACAGATAAATACATAAATAAATAATATAATAGTACATTACAACATGTAAACCGCATAATAACAACGGACACCTCCCATGAATTTACGACAGGACACCAGGACACCACAAACGAAATATAAACTGCGCGTCACATGAATGGATCAACGTCACAAAACGTGACGTATTTTGTGTGACGTTTATATTATCACAGGTAAATTTCTAAAAATAAAATAGATTTGTATTATTTATAGACACGTACAAGAATATTAAATGTGAATTGAGTTTGTAATGGTGTTATTTTATGTATTTTCTAACCATGACAAGAATATTAAAAAGGAATTGTGCTTGTAACGGTGTTATTATTTCTATTTTCTAACCATGTCTTTTTTTCTTCTAAATCAAAACTGTGTTTAAACAAAAAAATCATGCATAGAAAATAAAATAACTGTAATATAAGGCAAGATCATGTAAGACCAAACAGTAAACAAACAACATAAAACAAAAACCCAGTACACGAACAACGAGTAACTCGACTATACTGACAAATAAGACATATGTGAAATGTACCGAAAATACAGATTTCAAATCACAAACGAAATAAACAGACAACAACTCAGCACAAAATGACCCACCGGACCCACACGTATAAGAAGGTATGGGTCTGGAAATATTCGGACATCCAACTAGCTTGTATGTGATGGCACCATCTTACGGTGTTCAAATATCACAACTCGTTCGCTATGCCCGTGTCTGTCGTGACGTTTTGGATTTCACTGAACGTAATCTATATATTACTAGTAAACTATTAAGTCAGGGATTTCGTTACCACAAAAATTACTTAAAACCTTTACTAAATTCTTCCATAGACATAAAGATTTGGTTTGGAAGTTTGATTGTACCTGTAGAAAACTTGTTTTTAACGGGATAGCACATCCTAATGTTTATCGAGCCAGGAAATTTAGAAACGATCCGGGGAAACTTATCGATCCTTTAAATAAACTTATTCTAAAAGGTTACCAATTCAAAATTATAATTAAATCTTTGAATATTGTTTTTATTGGTATTAATATTGATTTTGTTATCAGTTAATTAAAATAAAAAAACTAAATATTATCTGTATTTACATATATGCACATTTATTGGCTCTACAGTCTGTCGATACCTGTTTCTTGGCATTGTATAAGGTCATGTTTTTCTCTGACTGTTAAAGACGTCTTTACACTAAATCACTTGGATGTTGAATGTGTACTGATTGATATTTTAGTCTTAGATGCATGATTGTTTTTATTAGTTGTTATTGGCTTTGATCTAGCTGTCAGTAACTGCGAGTACTCACAGATCTGTACTTAGTGTCTTTTTGTTGTCGGGATGTATAAGTACACTGCACTCTGTGTTTTTGTTAGATGTATTTCTGCTTTGGATCGATCTGATGAGTTTAGGCCTTTTCAACGGATTTTTATAGTTTGTTCTAATGTTGTACTGTTGCACCACTGTCCCAGGCTAGGGGAGGGTTGGCGCGCCTTCAAACTAGTTTAACCCCGCCACATTCTGTATGTGCCTGTCCTAAGTCAGTAGCCTGTTATTCAGTGGTTGACGTTTGTTGCTATATATCATATTTGTTTTTCGTTCATTATTTTGTACATTAATCAGGCCGTTAGTTTTCTCGTTTGAATTGTTTTGCATTTGTCATAACAGGGCTTTTTATAGCTGACTATGCAGTATGGGTTTTACTCATTGTTGAAGACCGTACGGTGACCTATAGTTGTTAATTTCTGTGTCTTTTGGCCTCTTGTGGAGTGTTGTCTCATTGGCAATCATACCACATCTTCTTATTTTTATATTTGGACTATATATTGTATGTTTGGAATTCATCTGACATTCAACTATAATGTATGTGATTGCTTGGAGAAATGAGCTGGGTCTATATATTATTCGTCTATAATTCATCTGATAACGAACAGTATATTTTGGTTGTTTGGAATTCATCTGGCATCTAACTAGACTGTTCTGTGATTTATTTCAAGTAATGAGCTAGAACTATTTGTGTTTTGTTCGGAATTCATCTGGCATCCCATTAGCCTGTTCAGTGATTTCTTTTGAGCAATGAGCTTGGACTATGTAGTATTGTCTGTAATTCATCTGATAACCCACGAGCCTCTTTAATAATTACGTTGAGACCTAAGCTTGGACCATATGTTGTGTTTCAGAAATTTATCTGACATTCCAATAGCCTGTACAATGTATGTGTTTACTTAGAGGCTAGAGTTAGGACTATATGCTGTGTGTCAGGAATCTGACATTCCATTAGCCTTTACAATGTATGTTATTACTTAGAGATCTGAGCTAGGACAATATATTGTGTGTCAGGAATCTGACATTTCACAAGCCTGTACAATGTATGTGTTTACTTAGAGACTAGAGTTAGGACTATATGGTGTGTGTTAGGAATATGACATTTCACTAGCCTTTACAATGTATACATGTGATTACTTCGACATCTGAGCTAGGACTATATGTTGTGTGTCTTGAATCTGATATTCCAATAGCCTTTACAATGTATGTGATTACTTAGAGACTTGAGTTTGGACTATTTAGTGTGTGTTAGGGAATCTGATATTTCACTAGCCTGTACAATGTATGTGTTTACTTAGAGACTTGACTTAGTAGATATAAGAAGATGTGGTATGAGTGCCAAGGAGACAAATCTCCATCCAAGTCACAATTTGTAAAAGTAAACCATTATAGGTCAAAGTACGGCCATCAACACAGAGCCTTGGCTCACACCGAACAGCAAGCTATAAAGGGCCCCAAAAATAACTAGTGTAAAACCATTCAACCAGGAAAACCAACGGTCTAATCTATACAAAAAAAAAAAAAAACGAGAAACGAGAAACACTTATGAACCACATCAAAAAACGACAACCACTCAACATCAGGTTCCTGACTTAGGACTGGTGCAAACAAATGCAGCGGGTTTAAACGTTTTTTAATAGGCGCTAACCTTCACCCTACCTGAAACATTATATATAGTGTAACATCACAACATAGAAAAAAGTAAAATCACAAAAATACTGAACTCTGAGGAAAGACACACTATAAAATATCAATTGAAATGGCTTAATTCAATCAAAAGACATATTAACAAAAAACAAGTGAACATACACTGAACGAATAAATTTGATCTATGACACAATGTAAATACAAAATTAAGGACTATTTGGTGTGTGTCAGGAATCTGACATTCCATTAGCCTTTACAATATATGTGATTACTTAGAGACTTGAGTTAAGACTATTTGGTGTGTGTCAGGAATCTGATATTCCATTATGCTGTACAATGTATGTGATTATTTCAAAGACCTTAGTAAAGGACTATACATGCTTACTGTATGACTGGTGATTTCTGGCTAGCCTATTTTGTGATTATTTGGAGAATGGAAAGGGACAACATACTACGTGTCTGGGATTAATTTGACATCATATTAAACACATCGTAGATTGTATGAAAACATGGAAAAGGACTACATACTATTTGAATCTCTGGGATTCTTCTGCCATTCTCTATCAGCTAATATTGTGTTTAGCGCTTATCGTGTGACATGAAGCAATTTGGCATACCACTTGCTAAGTTACTGGACCTGTAACCTTTAAGCCAGTAATCGCTACTTTACGTTTCCTCTTGTTTCTATAGACACAATTGGACACCCGCATGTAAGTTTCGGGTCGATAAAAAGTACAAAGGAACACGATATGTACACTGCTACAGACGTGTTTCATCATAAGATTCTTTTGATAACACTGTAATATTCTAGGTGACCACTTTATCCGTGGGCTCTAGTAATGTAAAATATTTTTACAAAAGTATGAAAATACACAAATTGTCATTTCAAAACGGCTGTATGAAACAAATGAAGTAAATGAGGCATGGAAGAGCTGCTTCGGTAACAGGTATTTAAAATTGTTTTATGAATTATGATTTTGTTTTGGTTTGGTTCAAAACAATAGAATTTTGTAAGCACACGTGTATCTAAAAAAATTATTCTTTGTTACATGTAGTTAGGATGAAATTCGCAAAAAACGCAAGTATTTTGTAAGGAGGTTGGAGTCTTATAAAGATTTTTTAATGAATTTTATAAGAATTTTAAAAGGATGCGGCCATTTTGTAAGGACATAGCAACTTTGTAAAGATTTTGAAATGGATCTTTTTGAGGATAAAAGAATTTTATAAAGATTGTGCAAGGATGCAAGCTTGGTGAGGCACTAGGGATCTTATACGGATTTTGAAATTATACACGAATTTTATAAGGACTTAATAAGTGATACAGGAATTTTATAAGGACTTAATAAGGGATACAGGAATTTATAAGGACGTAGGGATTTTATACGGATTTTGTAAGAATGCAGAATTTTTGAATGAACTTTAGAAAATTCATGTAACTTCGACATACACATGTACTTAATTATATATTTTATATATGTTTAATGTAGACGCATCACACTATTTTAATACGTTACTCACCTGCTCTACTTTGCCATTCAACCGTGTTATACTCATATTGAAGTTAGATTTTATTCGAAGTTGTGTCTCAGGCTTAAGGATCCAATGGTATGCTCCTAAAGCTCCATGGAATTGGTTTTCCTGACGACAAAAAAAATAAATAAAAAAAACATTTGGAAAAGAATCTGTCTTTTCAAATATAGGATAAACTTAATATCGGGATAGTACCTTTATTTTCATATTGAAAGTAATTGAATCATTGACATTGTGAAATGATCATCAGTGGTAATAAAAAAAAAACTTCGATGTTGATTATGAGAAAAATGAATATGTTAACTACTAGATGTCATTTGGTTATCTTTGTCTTTTGGATGCTGCCAAAGTAGTATTTAACACAAATATCATGGTATTTGTATAAAAAAGTGAGAGGTGTCAAGGCGGAAACCAAATCAATAAGTCGAAAAAAGAAGGACACTAGTGTATATAGAAAAGACATACCAAAATACAAACAATAGCCTTTCAAAACACTACAAAGAAAAACGATAGATGGAACAACGTGACACGGATTAAACTCATGTGCTCCTGAAAGGTGTTCTGATAAGGATTTTCTACCTCAGGAAAAAAATAACTTAGCCGATTTGGTAAAACATTACGGAATTTTGGGTCCTCACTGCTCTTCAACTTTTACTTTATTTGGCCTTTTTAATTTTTTTAATTCGAGCGTCACAGACGAGTTTTTTTTATACGAAATGCGAGAGTAGCGTACAAAAGTCTGGTATCTATGATGAGTTTAATAACCACACGTGTTGTTACAAGTTAGATATAAATGGTCAGTGTTATGACAATAAGTTACCTGTTCTTGCATTTTATCCAAGATATTCCCTTTTGTAATAAACCTGTCCCTTTCTGGTTGTGCGTAACAATCAGTGCCTCGGGTCAGGAAATGACGCAACATATTCACAGTGTCAACCAGTACAGCAACTTCAAATCGGGACCTTTCTTTAAAGTACTCTCCTACAAATGAAAAACTACGTAAATCAATAGCCCAATATGTAATGCAAATAAGCATAGCAAAACAATAAAAGAAACATTTCCAAAACAGAACATTCACTATACAATGGGTCATAAACACGAAACATAACCTTTCCAAAACAGAACATTCACTATACAATGAGCCATAAACACGAAACATAACCTTTCAAAAACAGAGCATTTACTATACACAACGGGCCATAACAACGACTTTTAGAGTAAACTTACATTTATTTCCGTTAATGTCATGACTTTTTTTCATCGAAGAATGCGAAATAAGCACACATGTGAAAAGAAAAAAATTACACGGTGGTTTTAATTGAAAAAAAAAATATAATAAATATTTTAGATACTTATGATATAATCAGCAACCTTATCACCTTTATCACCTATAGCTATTTAGTCTAAATGTCTAAATCTAACAATCTTATCTTACATTTATTAAAAAACGACATTTTCGACCGGCTCATTCCTACATGTACCACTCGTTGCATAGAAAATGCCCCCTCCTTTCCCTCCAAGGAACCCAGATTAAAGCAAACGAAATATTTTAAATGTATCAATTCTGACTACTAATGTTTGTCAAACAATATGTGATCCTGTAGCAATATTTTCATCGATCGGGTCTTACCGATACTGTCAGACCATCCGCATTATATAATTTCTTCTTTCCTTCCTGACGTGTTCCCAATTTTACAACTCAGTCAAGCCAACAGAATCTTAGCCACACCAATAAGTAACCAATCAGAATTAACTGTTGTTTCGTTAAAAATTCGAGATGGCGTGTATATAGACTGAAACTAATAGCTTCGCATCGTGATACGAAGTAATAGACGAAGCGTTCAGAACTTCTCCAGTCCAAAAGCCTTTCCAGTACTTCATTAACGTAAAAGGTGAATTTGGTCATCAATAGATGAAGTTGTACAGAAACAAAGTGTATTTTTAAATTACGAATTTAATTATTGTAACAAGAACGAAAGCTGAAATGTTTCTGTCGTCCTGAACATGCATAAGATAATCAAACAACAACCCATTACGACAAATTGGGGTGACAAACACGTTTTTTTCTTTTCTGGAATGAACTATTCACTCTATATTTTGATTATGCCAGAATTCTAAGTCAAGCCCTTTGAAATAAAATTGCGTATACAACAAATGCCAGTAAATGACATACAGTTTCCATTTTGTTTGCATGGTTTGAATATGAAGTTCCCTGCAGAAAATAGTAACACATTCGTTTGCAGTAAAGCATTGTGATGGTTATATACAGTACTATTTATGACTTTTTAAGTTTGTGTAAGTTAGTTGAATGCATCTTTGTTATAGTGAGTGTTCAGATTTCCCAGCTATTAATTACAATAATAAGAGAAACATTAGTATAAACGTTTTGTTTTCTGGATAATATCACCACTACTAGTTGAAATTATCGTCAAAACCTGCCCCGAAATCGGTATTATAAAACGACCATAACAGTATATGTAGCTAGAGAATATAGGTTATCATATCACAACTTGATTACACTGAAGGTATACATTGACAAATTGTTAGGTTATTGCAAACAACGTTCAGCTGAATAAAAGATGTGACATAACAGATAATCTTTTAAAATGTTTACCTGGTATTCCAGCAGTAAGTCGGGTAGGATCGAGCATCTGTAAACCGAATAGGGTAGCAGATGTTGGAAAGTCTTTCTCGAATATGTCTTCAAAATCCTTAATAGAAAGTTAGAAATAATCAAACTAAAGTACCTTCGATGATTGAAGACTTGTTATATCAATTTCAGCCCTAAAATTATATTATTGAAACACGCTTTATAAATCTGGTGCCTCCGAAACGTTTTTCTTCTGGATTTACCTTCATCAATAAAACAAAAAAAAAATATATGCACATCAAAAAAACTCTTCATATGAAATTTCGCGGAAATAAAAGATGAACATAATAGATCTATACAAAATCAATCTGTTTTTTGTTGTTTTGTTTAGACTATTGAAATAGTAATGGTACAATGTAATGTCAATGTAATAATATAATTGTGTACTTTGATTTAGGTTTAAATTCACATCTTTTTGTTTGAGAAAAACATTGGTCATAGAGACAAAACAAGTATTAGCAATAATGGATTTTGTCGAAAACTCTGAGGTGAAACAATAATATTAATTTCAAGAAGGACAATAGCAATTTCACACAAATAACTTGCTAAGAGGCAACACGTAAACATTTTTTTTCTATAATTATAACGGGAACATTCAAATATGTGATTAATAATCACTTTTTTATACTAACTAAAGGTAATTGGGTCGTATGAAATTTCTAAAATTACTTGTTATTCTGCGTCACAGATCAATTTTGTGGTATGTGACAGTAATTAATTACCAAATAGGTGAGAAACCACTTCCTTGAATGGTGAAGTAAATGTAGATCTTCCGCCTGGAATGTAAAGACATTTGTTATTGATAAAAACATGAACTTTAAAGCGTGAAAAATAAAGACCTGCTATCTGAAACATTCCCAGATTTCACAGTTAAGAGTTTAATACTTGGATTGATGAAGTAGATGCAAATTTACTGACTGAAATGTATAGCGACTTATTGTTGTTAACAATTACACGAACTTATAAGTGAGAAAAGTTTAGAGTGTTTTTCAAGTGGCGCTTTGTTGTGAAAGAGGTAGTCTAGACTTTCTTCAATGGACGTTTATTGAATAAAACACTTCCTTCACCGTCATGGATGGCTCGGTCAACAAAGCTATATATTTGCCCTTATTTCAATTTGTTTGGTAACTGGAAAATGTGGTGTTGGTGATGATCTTTGATAGTCTCTTTTTAATTCATTCGTATTTGTTTTAGTCTCCGGGCGATTTGGATTTGGACTTATTGTAAATATATTTATGTTTTTATTCATTATGTCGCTTGGTTGCTGTCTCATTGGCGCCTACATAACATTCGCTTGAACATCGATCTGTAAACGGTCTATAAATAGAATATGAAAATCTTAACACCCAAAGGCAACAATCGGCATAATACGATATATTGAATATGGGAATAACAAAAAAGTACTAAACATAGCACATACATTTAAGCAACAGTAGTTTACCGGTATTCAAATATCATAAACCGATTAATTAGATATAAATCATGGTAATCAACCAAAACTGATGGAATCGCAATCACTCCTTAGTTCGGTCTGTTGATAGGTAAGCTGTCCGGTCTGTGTTGTTGTTAAATGCTTTATATCGATCTGATGAGTTAAGCCCGTTTTAAATGATTGTTCATAGTTTTTTGTAACACCAATGTCCCAGGTTAGGGGAGGGTTGAGCGCCCACACACAATTTTAACTCTGCACATTCTTTATATGCCTGTAGTTCATTGGTTGTCGTCGGTTCATGTTTGTAATATTTGTTTTTTAAAAATTGTTTTGTTACAAATTAGGCTGTTAGTTTTCTCAATTGAATTGTTTCAAATTTTTCATGTCGGTGGCTTTAATAGCCGACTATACGGTATGGGTTTTCTCATTGTTGAAGGCCGTACGGTTGCCTATAATTGCTTTCATCCACTTCATTTTAACTTGCTTTTATCTACTTCATTTTAACTTTGGTGGATAATTGTTTCATTGACAATCATACCACATCTCCTTATTATTATATTTTCCAAATATGCATGCATCACCTGCAATGCGAATCCACACCCAGTAAAAATGTCACTGTCGGGAAAGGAAATAATAATAAAAAAAAGATCATAACTACCGCAAATATGACGTTCTTAACAACATCTCTGTCCATTGAATGTAGTATGAATTTTTCCATGTGATTTATCCGTAGCGTCGTGAGAGTCTGTCGTAAATCTGGGTCTTCCTTACTGGTTATATTGACCGGAAGTTGTGTTGGAAAGACAAATATATTCTTTTGACTCAATGACAAAACGGGTGCAAAATCACCTGTAAAAGAGAATACTTTCTGTAAAATTTGGTAAATGTGAGTGAAATGAGCATGGAGAAAGTTGTTAAATATTTCAACGAAGGAGGAATACAGTTATCTTACTCAGTATGAAAGCAAGTCATTTGATTGACAACGAAGGTGGAATAAAATTATCTTACTCAGTATGAAAGCAAGTCATTTGATTGACAACAAAGGTGGAATTGAATTATCTTACTTAGTATTAAGGCAAGTCATTTTATTGACAACGAATGTGGAAAACAGTTATCTTACTCAGTATGAAAACAAGTAATTTGATTGACAACGAAGAAGGAATACAGTTATCTTACTCAGTATGAAAACAAATCATTTGATTGACAACAAAGGTGGAATAAAATTATCTTACTCAGTATGAAAGCAAGTCATTTGATAGGAAACGAAGAAGGAATACAGTTATCTTAATCAGTATGAAAGAAAGCAAGTCATTAATGGGCAACGAAGGAGGGATATAGTTATCTTACTCAGTATGAAAGCAAGTCATTTGATTGACAACGAAGGAGGATTATAGTTATCTTACTCAGTATGAAAGCAAGTCATTTGATTGACAACGAAGGAGGATTATAGTTATCTTACTCATCATTTAGGCAAGTCATTTGATTGACAACGAAGGAGGAATAAAATTATCTTACTCAGGATGAAAGCAAGTCATTTGAAAGCGTACATGTAGGAAGAATACAATGATCTTTTACAGAATCAAAGCAAGCCAAATTAAAGAAGATGCCAATTTGTCTCTGCCATCTAGATCATCAAAGTTTTCTCAAGAATACTCATTAAGTAATCATTTTAATTAGCATGTACAAGGTTTCTAAATATTCTATAATATTACCTTGAGATAAAAATGCAACTTTTTTCCAGTTTAGTTTTTCAACGATTTGTGCTATCGCAGTAGACATAGAGGTAGCATCAGGAAGAATCGGGAAAGTTCTATCTGACGGCTCAGGTTTTTCTGCAGACTCGGTAACCAGATGGACCTGTTTCCTTATAACATATTGCATTGAAGTGAAGACATCAATATACGGGCCAATGGCTATAGTCATGTGGTCATCATCAAATAGAGAACGAGCTACAAAAAATGATAAAAAAACATATCATCGGCGTTCACAATGAATCACGAGAATCGATAGCAATCGACGCTATTTGAATACGAAATGGAGTTTATCATGAGAATTCTAAAAGGTCATTATAGTGACAAATATACTGTTTCCCTTACAGGAGCACATAAAATCGTTTTTGCGGGGTTTGTGTTGCTAATTCTTAATTTCTGTGTAGCTTTTTTTCTTGGCCTAGCCTTACCCTGTCCTTCTCGACTTTTAATATTTGATTGCTCTTTGATATCGCTTTATTTTTTAGTTGTTATTCTTAATTGTTGAAATAGGCACCATATTCACAACATTGACATATGTCTTAGCCATAGGTATATACTGCTGGTTACAATTAAATTGATAGTTGTGATAAACCATCTACGATTAAAAAGATTTTATTGTGAACTGGTCTTTGTATGGTAGCATGTTCCCTTGTTTAAAGAAAGCATAAGGGAAAAACGAAATTATCTAAGTAAATTTTACCCTGTTGCACAACACATTCATTTCTTAGTCGGTTCTTTCGGAGTTGTTTAAAAAATCAGTTTACTCAAGTAAAATAGTGTTAGTTTACAAATAATTTGTAACGAATTTTGTTTACCATCGGTTATACATGGAAGGTACCGGTTATACATGGAAGGTACCGGTTAAACATGGAAGGTACCGGTTATACATGGAAGGTACTGGTTATACATGGAAGGTACCGGTTATACATGGAAGGTACCGGTTATACATGGAAGGTACCGGTTATACATGGAAGGTACTGGTTATACATGGAAGGTACCGGTTATACATGGAAGGTACCGGTTATACATGGAAGGTATCGGTTATACATGGAAGGTATCGGTTATACATGGAAGGTACCGGTTATACATGGAAGGTACTGGTTATACATGGAAGGTATCGGTTATACATGGAAGGTATCGGTTATACATGGAAGGTACCGGTTATACATGGAAGGTATCGGTTATACATGGAAGGAACCGGTTATACATGGAAGGTACCGGTTTTGTCAGACGGGTCAAACTAGTAAATATATAAACAGGGTAAAAACCCATCAATTAGGACGAATCAAAAAGGCTAATTTTTAATTATCGTAAATTCAGATCACAATACACTATAAATACAAACCGTCTCCTACACGTATCAGTAGACATACCTGACGTAAGACTTTGGTAAACATGTGGCCCATCTGTTTTATCATAGGCTGCTTCCGTTAAGTTCAGTTTACAGAAATGCACAGATGAGTCGTTTTCCAGTTTTTCAGCAATAGTTTTGTAATTCTCAAAATTAGTGCGGTCTTTATACCCGACAATTGCTGTAGATAGAAAATAATAAAAATAAATGTAAAGTATCATTTTACTTATTGTAATTTTCTGTTTCGCCATTTAACCTGCTTATTATTATAGCAGTTTATTGACGAAGTGGACAACATAGTGAGTAAAATAATTGTTATGCACATAAACAACAGTTACATAGAGATATAGGGTTAAGTTTAGTTGAACTAATATTTTATTCATATTAAATTATCTAGAAATATAATAATGATGACAAAATAATGATAAAACCAATGATGTATTGTGTGAGAGCTAAATAAACTAAACTGGGGTCAAACAGAAATAGTTAAAACTTTGAAAGAGTTGTGACCTTAGTATCAATACAATACCATGATTATACATAATTTGGTTACGTCTTTCAAACAGCACATTAAATGTGAAGCATCAAATCACATTAACGTGGTTGCATGCAAATATTAAACTATAATGTATCTAAGGTTTTAAGGTCAAGGAACAAAGAATACCGTTGATAGTTTATCTTAACAATAAATATTCTCTCCATTATTGTTTTATCAAAAGTGTTCTACTAAATGCTGCATTTTGAGACACACTTTAGCTGTGAATATATATATATTATATATGTAGGACTCTAAAGTGCGACGATCTACGCTAAGGTCCGAAGGTGTCAAACGCTAAAGTAAGATGGTATGACACGCTAAAGTGCGATGGCATAACACATTAAAGAGAAATGGTACATGTATAACACGTTAAAGTTGGATGGTGTAACAGGAATGGGAATCAGCCAAAACAATTTCGTTTGTTGCTGTGTTCCATTTAGTTTTTCGTTTATTGTTTTATTTATAAATCAAACAGCTGTTTTTGAATCGTATTACACTAGTCATGTTGTGTCTCTCAACTTGTGATACTTGTCTGATAATTATATATATATAAACCCTTCATCTGGAAAAACATTCTCGTTTTCCGACAAATGGCTTGTAACTTCATAATGCTGTTTATCGTTGGTAACGTCTATACTTTCGCGAACAAACGCACTTTTTTGGAAAACGCACTTTAGCGTATTGATGCATCGAACTATAGCGTGTTTCATTGAATAGCACAGACTATCGCTTTAGCGTACAAAACCATCCAACTTTAGCCAGGACCATCGCACTTTAGAGTCCTACATGTATATACTGTTGTCAAAAATCCATATTTTTGTGTTTTTTGTTTTTGTTTTGCTTTTTTTAATGTCATTTAAACAAAAGTGTTCTACTTCTTCCATGTCAATACATTGTTAATTATAACTTTAATTATCTAACTGAAAAAAATGCAAACTAGCTAACTACTAATGGAATCTTTTGATTCTAATGACTTTATCAGATTTAATTTATAGATCGACGATAAAGTATCTGAATTATTGAGTTATAAAAATTTAGCTTGCATCATCAACTTTATAATTTCTAATGCAGTATAATTAAAAACTTAAAAAATGATTGATAAAATCATATGTAAACTGACTTAAATTCAAATCTCATACTGTTATAATTATGAAATAAATCGTTTACACGCCAGGTGGAGAGCCCAGACTGCAATAGACGGCTTAGTTAATGCAATCAGTGGAAGTTATTTGATGATGTGCTTACACAATTTATTGGAATTATGTTGACGTTTTCTGGCATTAAACTGATGTATCCACGGTACTATCCCGGGACTTTGTTTGCACAAATTGATGAATTATTTTAGATATTGATGAATACAGAGTTTTCCCATAGAGATGGTAAACAATAAGAATTAATTCAATAACATATTTTTACTATATTGTACTGTGTCTGGAATAATCTGAATATACAAATACGCAGGTTTAGCATCCACTTAAATTTAGTTATATAATTTTGTCGATTTCTATAGAGCATGCTCATTTTTGGGTTTGCATATCAAATGACACCAAACTGTCATTATTTAAAATTCTAATTGTAGAAACGCTTTGTTTACTGGTGTAAATCAATGGCATTTAACGATGAACAAATATAGTTCAGTTATTAAAGGGGCATTAGCTGTCAAATTCATGTTCACCGATTTGACTAAAATTCTCATATTTGATTTATAACATACTAAAATGTGTATCCAAATTACAATAAGTCTGAAATAAATAACTAACATGGCATGGACTCGATAATATATATCAGAATTTCGTGTGTATTTTAGGTTAGACGCCATCTAATTAACCACCGAGATGACCTCCGAAGACTGCCGACGGTCACGTAATCCGATAGTGGAGCGGCGAATGTTGAAAAAAACGCTTAGTTAACGAGTTTAAATTATCTAAATACCTGAATACCTCATGGAATTTTAATATCTTAAAATGTCTATCGATTATTCAACTTCGGAAAAATATTTGTCGTAAATGTCAAATATGGTGCCAATGACGTTAAAAACGACCTAAAGGTTACACGATACCGAATGACGTTACGCCACGAGTTATCGTTCCTGCTGTTGTCGACATCCGTGAAATTGACAGCAAAAGTAAAACTTGATGTTTTATAATAACTTAGAACGAATTAAACAAACAATTTGCCTCAGTCTGGTAAAAAATAGTTGAAAGATAAATGTTTCTTTATTTCAAATTTGCAAATATATATATGATTATATATTAAAAATACCTTCATTTATTATATACTTAGTAGTAAATACAGATAAATTGTTTGTGTAATACAATCCTTGGCAAGCACCCGTGATGATATCGATATCAGCACGGTTGCAAAGGCTTTATCACACCTTTAATCTGTCTGACGTCACGTCATCGATTACAGTCACTGTTGCAAGCTTTATCAAACCTATAATCTGTATGACGTCATTTCAAACTTCCTTATCTGTATGACGTCATGTCACATAAAAACATGTACGTGAGGTATATGTATATAATAAAGTGTATATGATATGACTTTTTCAATATCACATACCATATCAACCCTCAACCAATATAATCCCTCGAGCAGAGCTCTTGGGATTATATTGGTGTCTCGGGTTGATACGGATGTGATATTGAAAAAGCCATATGATATTCTCTATTTAGCGTCGCTTTTTTACGTATCGTATCCAATCACACAACAATAATTATACCCAAATGTGATTCAAATGAAAGAACAAATATGAAAAAAAAAATTAAAAAAAAATCACACTTATTTGAAATTTGTATAAGAAATTAACCTTTTATTTTCATTTAACACTTTACATAGTAACTTTACATAGTTGCAGAGTGCCGAGAGATTTGATTCAATACGTTATTTGACATTGATTGCTTCGTCGTCTTCCTCCTATTCTTCTTCTCATTCTTTACATTTGAATATATACTTTTTATTAATGATGATCGCCGTTTTCTGATGAAATTTTGTTTTCAAAGTAGAAATCCAAATTATAGAAAAGCATGATACGTTGTGAGAATACGGGGAATTGTACTATAATCAATGCAATTCCGCTAAGACACCCATTCGTTTTTAAATGGTTACCGAAAAACGTCGCTAGAAAAATAGAAAAAGGAAATTTAATTGGAAAATAATACCGATAGAATTTAGCGTAAAAGCACCGTACAAGCAGACAGAAAATGGTTTGTTGGCAAGGAATGAAAAAAGAAGACAAGTTGAACTTGACGATTTTGACCGAACAACGTTACCTGTGCTTAAAGTGTAAACAGTCTTTGAAATTTATTGGACAGTACAGAAGAAATCCGATATGGTTTCGGAAGCTTTTATCAAAGAAACTACTAGCATTGTAATCTTATAAGTACAGTCTAAACAGGACAGTCACATCGAAATAAGGAGAAAGTTAACAAAGGCTTAAACATATGGGATGTCAACACTAAATGTGCACTCGGTTAGGACGAAATAAATTTAAATCATTCAGATCCCGTTACATTTTTTTTTTCAATTCCATTCTAAATAAATTATTTTCTCGGAATTTACCTTCAACGATTCACAATTAATGAATGATCGGTGCTTCGACGAAGGTAAATCCAGAAAAGCGCTTCGAACGCAAACAAGTTATTAAATAAAATTGAGAATGGAAATGGGGAATATGTCAAAGAGACAACAACCCGACCAAAGAGCAGACAACAGCCGAAGGCCACCAATGGGTCTTCAATGCAACGAGAAAATCCCGCACCCGGAGGTAGTCCTCAGCTGGCCCCTAAATAAAAGCTATTTTCATTAACCTATTTTATTCAAACGGCAAAAACAAACTGATCAAAAGATGAGAGTTCAAATGCCCCCCTCCCAGCGTTGTAAATATTGTATTTGTCAATGGCAATTATAACTTTAAAAAAAATTATTTGTTCTTGGATTTTTGAGAAATGCAGACTTGAGAGCAAATGCAATGCAATTTACGATATAATTAACTCTTTTAAAAATATTTGATCGGCACTGACTTTCGAAATTATTCAAGACAATTGCTGATATAAACCTTATATATAAATTATTTAAAGATTTGGCAAAAATTATACACGTGAGAGCGCTTACAAAAGCAATTTTCCATATGATTAATATTTCCAAGGGCATAACTCTTTTAAAAATAATTGTTCGGCACTGATTTTCAAACGATATCAAAGGGCAATCAGTCACCGACGATATCAAAGGGCAATCAGTCACCAACAATATCAAAGGGCAATAAGTCACCGACGATATCAAAGGACAATCAGTCACCGACGATATCAGAGGGCAATCAGTCACCAACAATATCAAAGGGCAATCAGTCACCGACGATATCAAAGGGCAATCAGTCACCGACGATATCAAAGGGCAATCAGTCACCGACGATATCAAAGGGCAATCAGTCACCAACAATATCAAAGGGCAATCAGTCACCGACGATATCAAAGGGCAATCAGTCACCGACGATATCAAAGGGCAATCAGAAACCGAAGATAGCAAAGGCAATGAGAAACCGAAGACATAAAATGGCAATTAAGAATCGATGAATCTTATAGTGGTAAATCAGAAATAGACGTAACCCATTGTGGTAATCAGAAGCCGAAATTAACCAGGGTAGC